GGTGGATACAAAGACTATTAAACTTGTCATTTGAGCAATCAGATTTAAAAAAAAATATTAATAGCAATTTTAGCTACACTTATAGCTGATATTTGTTCTAAGATAACGTTCCAGGCAATATAATAAAAGTTATTTTGTGAGCTGAGAAAGCGAAAGCAATTACACCACACGTTCTCTGAGCGACAATATTTACCCATCAATCCTCTCTTCTTTCATCAAGACAATCAGAATCAACTCACCCTAAGCTCAATAAATATACAAGTACAGACTAAAATAAAAAGTTAAGGAAGACAATGGCATAAAACTTCCAGGGAAAATGGTAAGCAAACATTTAATGAGACTGATGTGTTCCTTCTAAAAATGACACAGTGTGCAGCTGATCACTGAATTTAGTAGCTGTAGGCTTATTCTGAGAGTACAATTTGAAATGACTCAATATAAAAGGCACCAATTTCTTAAATGTATGCTAATGTTGACATTTGTAGATTATTAAAATATGATTTAAAGTCTAAAGGTAAAGTCTTCAACTTTCACATATGTAAATACTCAACCATATTCATCAATGACAAACATTTTATGATATCACTGGTCAAAACTGTCTGTCTAAGCAGTAAATAATAATTCGATTTTTACACTCTCTGAAAAAAATTGAAGAATGCTTACCAAGGTGGTTGCCAGGGTGATGGTATGCCGTTGCTAGGGTATTCTGAAAGAGTGCTAGGTAGCCAGGTCAAAAGAGCTGTATTATATGTGATATGTAATATTCTGGATTGGTAGATATGGCTTAGGTTCCTTCCTCAGAGCAAGTCTATGATATTTTTTCCCCACCTGATTCATCATCTGCAAAGAAAAAATGATAAGCCTGATTGCTTAGAAAAGTAGTAACATTCATCAACACAAATACATGAAAAATACATATTGAATCATATACCAGACTTCACAAAGTATTTCTCAACAGTAAAAAATAAAATAAAATATATATTAGCCAATATATATATATATATATATATATATATATATATATATATATATATATATATATATATATATATAACAGTTTTATTTTTTTAGCTAACTAAATGGATTGTCTCCCATTTAAGTTAAAGTATGGAAGTATACTATATGAACACACCTTGGTTCCTCTAAATGCCTTCCATTTCTTCCATTTTGAGATATTGCAAATTGCAGACAGCACTTCTGTTGATAGAGCCCAGTGTGTGTGGCACCATGAAAGTCATTTAAGAGAAGGTTTGACAGAGAGCTAATATTTCTCTCTCATTGTGTGTGACTGTTTCTGTTGCACACCACGCTGATCCCTCGTCTGACCTGCAGTAGATCTTCTTCAGCACTCGGACACTTTCTCCCCTCACACATTCATTATATTCTACCTGCAGTTCGATCTGACACAAAGGCCCACATCCACGGGGAGGTCAGAGGTCAGGAAGATGGATGACTGATTTGTGAGACTGACCCCTGGGGTGACGGACAGCCTGATCCACCAAACATAAGTCTGTTTTATAGTCATCGATCCTGAATACAGCACTGCTGTCACTCAAACATGACCAATCATGTCTCTGCAGGAAATAGGCACAGGAATAGCATGGAGAGAAGCTTCAATGATTTAAAATATTTTGCAGACTGACTTTTTATCAAAATACAGTTTAAATCACTGTTAATCCTGTTACATTCAGGAGGGGTCACAATCAAATAAAGTAAAAATTGACAAAGTTAGGCTACTCCTAATGAATGTCTGAGTTTGCCGAAACGTCTAATGTTGCATCAACTAATCATCTAAAAAAATTCACAATACTGCACAAAACGTGCCAAACCTTTTGCACGATTGGGTCCGGTGGAAGTTAGAAAAACGTCTGGACTGACTTGGTGAATGTCATTTAACCAAGTAGGCCTATCATCAAGATCAACATCTTTGTTGCTGGAACAACATTCCAATCAGATCTGAGGTACAAGTTTACATAAGTTATGGGTAGGGCTAGGTTTAGAGATAGGGTTGTTAAGACTAAATTTTCAGACAAGTAGGCCTATGTTGATCCAGGAACATGTCTTACTTGAAGTGCCAGCCTCATCAGCCCTGTGAAGGCCTCATCGACACGACAGCCATCGGATTCGGCACTGATCCTCAACAACAAAATTTTCTTCTAGAAACAAACTTTGTTGTATTATTTTCATGTTATCACTGTGAAACTGCTTTGATACAATCTGTATTGTAAAAAGCGCTATATAAATAAAGGTGACTTGACTTGACTTACTTGGCAAAATCACAGTGACGAAATGGCTAGTTACAGCTCTTTTAACTTTTCTGATTTTCAGCTCGTCTTTGAAATCACTAGGTGGGAACACTCCCCCATCTCAACAGCCATCGTAACAATTCTTTCATTATCAGCGAAAATGTGAAATAACCTTTGCAAAGGCGGGTGAAGTTTTAAAGCCGCTGGCACGCGAAGGTCTCCTTGACATTTTGCCGCTCATCTTCTCCAACGCTTTCTCCTGTCTGAGGAAAGAGATGCGCGCGCGCCCCAGTGACATTTACCAAAGTCATCAAGCACGGAAAAAAATCATATTAGCGAGAAAGAAACTGCTAAAAGCAGCTTGTTCCGTTCCGTTCAGGGTACCGGGTTTATAAGAACAAACTGTATGCAACTGAACAGCAAAACTTGCATTTGAAACTAAAGATAGGCTACACCGGATGAGGTAACGTTAGGCTTTGGGGTGATGGATAGAATAACCTACTCTCGCTCTCTAAATAGGCTATAGCATATATATGAAATTAAAATGTATCCCAAAAGGACATAACTCTCCACTGGTTTCCTTATAAAACGAAAGAAATCTATACTAAGACAATGTAAATCTATACTAAGACACGTTTCCTGAAGCAAATAACGAATAGGCCTATCTCAAAACTATAAACAAATACAGTAAACATATACCGGTATGTTATTAACAATGTTGAAAGAAAGAATTTAAAATGTATAGTATTGTTAAACATGTTTACCCAATATTCAGCAAATTAATGCAAGAGGGGAAATCAGATCATTTAGGGCTAGCCTACACATACATTTTAAATTTGGCTACATTTGTTCTGAATTTGCATCTTTCGTTATTTGTTAGGTCAGTCCATAAACATTAGATAGGAGTAGGTTGAAGGTAGTGGCCCTGTATCTGTAGCCCTAAATGATCTGATTTCCCCTCTTACATGTAGGCCTACTACTCCACCTCCTCTGACTGGAACAACCTTTTCAATCCAAAGCCATTCCATAAATTCTAGTTAGCAGTTGTCGTCTTCCTTTCATCGCCTAGAGGGCACTACTGTGCAGCTGCGATGTTTTACCATCAGCCAGGAAAACAGAGAAGTGTTGATTACTCACCATCGTTCAAGCGTAGTGAGGAGAGGAGCCAGTCTTGATTTTCACTTACTCTCTCAATTAGCTGTTGCAGAATCACACAGGACCTCCGAGTTTAATAGCATTCTGTTCTGGAAATTTGATTGTGGAATCACACTTTTATCTATATGTGTTAAGAGTCTCAGAAACAGTGATACAAACACCAACATAATCATGACACAAAGCAGCCAGCAACCAAGTTTATTCATGCAGGAAAGCACTGCAGTAAGTGAGACTACTTCTTTTTAAAGACATCATGAAATCAAAATAGACTATTCTTATTTTTGTATGGAATATTGCATTGCAATGTTTATTAGGCCATAAATGATTTATGATATACCCTCATAATCTTTAATCGAAATCATTTTCATTTCATGCCAACTAAAAAAAAAAAAAAAACTTTCCAGTCTTTGCTTTAAGGGGGCTTAAACAACGGTCACCAATATGCACCATATAGCATACAACTGAAATTATTAGGTGAAGCACAATGTAATGACACTGTTCAAACAGGCAGCAAAAATAATCCTAAAAACAATATCTGGCTCATATCAGTTTCATCATCTTAACGCTGATGTATGCATCCATATCCTTGTTAGGAGGATATGACAATATTTGGCTGACATACAAGATTTGAAAATCTGGAATCTGAGGGTGCAAAAAAAAAAAATCGAAATATTGTGAAAATCACCTTTAAAGTTGTCCAAATGAAGTCCTCTATTTCTGCATCCACTCACAAAAATATTTTTTTTTATACATTTACGGTAGGAAATTTACTAAATATTTTCATGGAACATGATCTTTACTTAATATCCTAATCATTCTTGGAGTAAAAGGAAAATCGATAATTTCGACCCATAAAATGTATTGTTGGCTATTGCCACAAATATACCCCTGCGACTTATGACTGGTTTTGTAGTTCAGGGTCACATATTCAAACTTGAGTAAAACGCTTTAAAAAAAAAAAATTCTTCCTTTTCCCCCTCAATAGCTATTAAATATATTGAAGAGCACAGTATTTAAACCTTCTGGAATCACAAAATCAACCATGGTTAAAGTTGGCATGAAATGAAAATTCACCTAATTTCTCACATTTATCTGTCACTAACTTTAAGTGCGACAGCCTATCTCAAAATCCAATCACCATTTGATGTATAGAACCAAGTCCCCGCCTTACATTTGTTCTTTTTCAGTAATCCGTTACACTCAGATGTACATCACAAGGAGGAAGAAAAGCTGTTGCTACTCTAATCACTGATATAGTGGATATTGACCACACACTGACTGAACAAACAGACCAGATTTTATCTCTTGCAAAATAGAAATATGGACAGCGAATCAAAGATCAGATGTGAAACTTAAATCAGTTTTGTGTGCAGTGTGAAGTTGAACATAACCATCTGATGCGGTCACATTAGTGAAATTTCATGTGCAAAAAAAAAAAAACATTTCCCATTATCAACAGCGTAGAAATGTATAGAGCACAGCTCAGACAGAAGTCGGCTTCAAACCAAGCAGCTTTCTGTTGGTCAGCACGGAAAAGCTTGTTCTAAATTTCATACAAGCACCAACATAAGCATGACTCAACTGGTTTTTCAATGTATGTAAGAGAAAACCCTTTATTAATCGTTTCTGACTACAAAGAATGGGAGGAAAATACAAGAAACATCATTGACGTTAAAAAGGGATCCAGATAAGCAAAAACAACATTTGTGCAATTTAATCCCTTTGCATAAATTAATATAAGGGCCGTTGAGGAAAAGTGTACTACTTCTTGTTCTTAAATTTTTGTTTTTAAGCCTTTGGTCCAGCACTGGACATGTTTAGTAGTCAGGACGGTCCTTCTTCAGCTTGCTGTAGTCCATGTTCACTGCGTAGAACTTGAAATGGGAAAACAGAAAAGTGAGAATACAAAATAAGCAGGTTAACATTATGCACTCAGCAAAATCCATTAACTCAGCTGCCTGTGTATGTATTGAACTTGAACTCTACTCCACATCAAATACACATTAAGACACAAGCTTGATTAGATTTGTACTAACTAACAGCACACATAAAATGAGCTTATGAAGCGCTTAATGAATTAAACTCATTAAGATCTTAGATTAGGTCCTGATACGGTCCTCCAGTCACATCTTTTAATAGGATCCCCTTAGGCGCTCCAACAACAATGGTCTATTTAAGTGTTTCACTACCACCACATATGCTGGTCAGTTAGATTTCAAACTCAAAATTACTGTCGCTTACTGGATGCTAAACATCTCGAAAAGTGCTTTATCACATTAAATAAAATCTTCTGAATTCAAACAAGGAGTTTAAACAATTACCACTCATATATGATCATGGCGCATATATCATACCTTGTACTGATCAGTGGGCGCCATTTTATTCCAGGGCTCTGGGTTGTTCTTTTTGTCCCAGCTGTGGATATGAAGCAAACAAATAAAACAAGGCATGCATGATAAAACTAAACAAAAGAGTTGAACATCTGATCAGCACTGTTGTTCTCTCACAATTGAATGGGTCAAGGTATGAAAAATCACAAGTTAATGTTGCATTGCGCAGCATCAGCCTATGGCTGTCTACACTGGACACGACAAAGCAACTGTTGCAAATCCATTTGTTCTTTGTGTCAGAAGTAGCGTGAGTGCTTGAAGTACATCAGAAATAGATTGGGGCATCGGTTTATTGTCGAGAATCTGTCGTGACTCGTGACGCATTGAGTGTAGACAGAATCACTGATTATAATGGGTTCTATTTGCTTTTATTGTGTTGCGCCACTCACATCTGGTGTAGACATGGTGTTAGATCTTAACAGCAATTGTTCTTCAATTAACCAAAAGGAATGAGGCCTTTCAGTTATGTTTTAGTATCCATTGTGAGAGACAGGTGATTAATGCTTACCAGACATCTGGGTTACGCAAGGCCAGGCGAGCCAGATATGTCAGAGACATGGCGCATCCACCGCCAATGAAAATTAACAGTGGGATCAACTATGATGAGAGATGAACAAAAAAACAAAACAAAAAATATATAAAAGCAACTGTGACTAGAAGTCAAATGACTTGAAGGTGATGCATTAAACTTTCAAATTATGGATGATGACCATCTAGTGTATGGTGGTTCGCAACTGGGTTTGGCTTCAGGATGCCAATTTTACATTGTATAGTCTATCAGTTAGCAACCCTGCAATTCTCTTATTGTACAAAAATAAAACGTACAAAGCCATAGTATAGACCTCTCCAGGTGAGAACCACAGATCTAGATAAGGCTATAGTATTGACTGGCATTACCGTTACATAAAATTGTTCACAAATGTTGCTTCACGGCAACACAAAAGCCTTAAACACAAATAATACATTAGAGTTTCCCTGCTTCAAAACTTTATAAGCAAATGTCTTCAGAAACAGTAAGTGGTTAGGAGATCCGCAGCCAAGATTTTAAAATATCAGTCATTAAAATAAAATAGGTTCGACAAACAAAAAACAGACAAACATAATACAGACAATACGAAGTAAATGGCTCTAATAGTTTAAAAGTGAAAGTGTTTTAGGCCACACTTGTCAGTCTGTCCTCAGTTTAACACGCTCGTCCTTGAGCTCCAGATAGCCAGTGCGGTCATGTGACACGCAGGCCTCCTGTGACACATACAACTAAACTCGCTTCAATGGCATTTCATTTCAAGCTAGTTTAAGGTTCATCTAATTATTCACATAAAGACTCGCAATAAACATGCCACTGGTCTATTAAAATGGGAAAGTGTGTTGTTTACTTGTGACGATCGTGACTGTTTGACGCGTTTGTGTAGTTGTTGCAACTCAACATTTTGTGAGCTTTCCAATATATTTATTTGATGTATATTTTATACCCGATCGAAAACTTATTCTTAACTTAAAGTTCTTAATTGAAAAAAAGGTCAATATCTGCAATTGTACGAAAGTATAATATTAATTCAATAAAAAAAATACTCATTGACCTTTTGGATTTCCATAGTCGTTTTTATTTATTTATTTTATTGAGATTGCACCAAAAAACGAAAGATTTAACGTTATATCCGATAAAATATTTTAGAACTGACATTTCCATTAACTTGTATTGTTTTAATAGTTACTTTTACCATTACTTTTCCAGACCTGGGAACCACACTTTTAAAATTCCTGATATTTCTAGGATTTGCCGTGTAATATAAAAAAGGGATTAATTTGTGTTTATTCAGCGTTGTAAATATCTAAACTGGTGGCACGTCTAACTTAGCATTCCGCAGCAGGGACGCTAACAGGCTAGCGACAACGTTTGCACAATTCGGTCTTGCCATCGTCTATTACAGAATAACTCGTCCTGAAATCATAATTCACTTACGGCAGGGTGGCTTCTGAGTTGCCGGCTGACCGTGCTCAGCATTATGATTGATGAGATGATTTAAATTCTCCCAAAAATGTACACAAATATACGAATTGAACGAGGCCCGTTCGAGAGCTCTGGCAGGACCGCTTCAGCACTGAGAGAATAAGACACGGTCCACACGGGGGTCTTATTGAGTTTGCCTGATTTGTTATTTTATAGTTAGACAAACGTTGCCATCTCATTTCAGTTAATAAATACGTATTGCAGTGTAATAATTGAAATGTTAACCAAATAATGATTATAAAAATGATAAATAAATGATAATAGGATTATATGCTGGGGTATTTTGTAAAGGCGATGCTGTGGATACCCATTCGAAGGCGCGGTACTGGGTTCTTACTGGTCGCTGAATCTGATCTGATCTAGGGTCAGTTTGCGAGTTCGCACGAACACTTTTGATTTTAGATATCTGATCCCACATCAGAAAGAACATTTAAGAACTTTAGACTAAAAGGTCGTTCTAGGTCGTAATCGTGTTTATATGAATGAGAAATATAATTTTAAATAGGCAAATATAAATCACGCATACATTTTTCTCTTTGTCATACAATATTATCTGTAACGTTAGTTTATAGTTTTATTATCTATAGTTTTTAAACTGGTTCTCTGAGCACCAAATGATTTCATTCGAGTTGCTCATTTAAGACAATAAATGAGTTGTGTTGTGTCATATTTCTCCTCAAAGATTAAAGATAATGATAATAAAAAATCATTTTATTGATGGGGTTAAATAAAATGTAAAATTTTAAATAAAGCTTATAGCCTATTTTGCGTTGTGGCATTATTATTTTCATGACAAAGCACATTTTGTCCCTATTTTGCCTATTAATACTACTATTTTGCCTGCAATAATATAATATAATATACAGACAACAGACTATACCGACTGCAAATTATATGCACTTACTAAATTGATTTATAGATTTGTAAACATATATCCTCTATAAATATATGGGGGGGAAATGTATGCTAAGTTTTTCATTTTAATGTAAAGTTTATTTATTGCATAAACCGATAGGTTTGTGTATTGCAATAACATATATCACAATATAATAATCTTACATTTCACAAAGCTATTTTAATTGCAATTCTAAATAAGTCAACGATAGATGCTGACCTTCTAAAATACTCTGTTAGTTTACATGATGTATGGTTTATGATAGCACACATCCATGGACTGGTAGACACCTTTCCTGAAAAGGCAGCACTGTCACAGATTTCTGTAACCTTACTCTGAACTAGCGCAACTTTCAGAACCATATCATCCTGCTTTCGCTTCTTTATATTCACGGCGTGCGTTAACAAAACCACCTTTAAAATTCCCATTTACATAGCCTAAAAGTGCTCATCTTAAAAACGAGCATGAGATTAAAATAACAGAGAAAGAGAAAAAGGAGAAAAGCACTTCGTCGTCGTTTTAGCCAGGACAGCCTCAGGGCAGCTTGTTCAAACGGCGAGTGTGGAAATGTAGTTTTGCTGCGCTGCCAGTTCTCCTCTGCGGGCTCTTTTAATCAGATTGCCTTCTTGACATCCGGCCGTGTTTGTTTCCCTCCAATTTCATTTTCTGCTTTGAATTGCACATTAACCTTTCCTCAGAGTTCCTGCTAAGCAAACGGCGACTGTTCTCCATTGCGATCACGATTTTGAGAGGTGGATGGCTGACTCTCGTCAGGTTTAACTGCATCTTCAGCTCCAGTCCATTCAAATCAATGCGTTCTCGACGCCACTGTGTTTTGTAACAACTATCAACCGCAACAAGACGTGCACTTTAAAAGGTGCGATTGAAAACACAAACCCATTCATGTCCAGGGTGTGTGTTTAATGTCATTTGGTTGTTTTTCTCTCCCCAGAGCGAGAACATGATGCTGGCAGACACGAGCAGCGTTTTTGGCAGACGTTCCCCGATGACAGCTGGTCAACAGCATCTTCTTTGCAACCTGATAGAGTTTCCCTTTTATTTAAACACCCGTTATGATGACAAAGATATTCATCGGTACTAGAGATGCAGAGTAGAATGAATCTATAAAATTCCATTTTTATTCTGACACAAGGATGCATTATAATGCAGGTGATTCTTTTGTAAAAAATGTCAACTTTCTAAACATTTGCTTTGCTGACTTCAAAACAAGACATGAGACACATGAATATAAATATGAAAAAGCCACGTTTTGACAAATAATTCATCTATACAGGTGTTTGTGAATTACATACACAAAGTAAACACCCCCCACACACACACTTCCTGGGGAATGCAATGACAATAATCAGACGTTTAACAATTCACCACCTAAATTAAGGCAGAACCCACCTTTCTGAATCCACATTTCTCAAATGACTTGGAGATGTATATAAATGTGTCAAAAGTACGAATTGGGGTAGCTAAAAAATTCTGTGGTTGCCCCGCTGGAGGGAGTCTTCTAGGAAGTACAATCAGCGTGTGCATTTTTTTAGACTACAGTTTTAAATAGGATCTTTCCCTGTATCCAACCTTTCTCTTTTTGATTTCGCCTTATGAGCATGACAGATTATGATTAGGCACAGACACGTATTTGCACTGTCCCTCTGTTACCATGGATTTCATTTTGAGAGATGATGGGTTAAATATATCCCATTATTAAATGTTCAGAACATCAACAATATTTTGAGTGCTAAAAACATCATCTCTGAAGTACACCAATAATGGAATTAGTGTTGTAAAGTGTTTAAAGAATATGTGTCTATGTTTGTCTCAAGGGTTCAAATGCAGGCATCCATGTACGCATGTGCGCACACACACACACACACACACACACACACACACGTTTCAAGTCTTCAGTGTGTCGTCTTCTTAGGAGACTTTCCAAATTTGGCATCCAGTCCAAGGCCTGAAAGACAGAGCAGAGTCATGGTTGAGCTTATTATACATCTCATTATGGCCATCCAGCTCTGGACTGATTATTAGTACTGTTTAACACAGAACTCAACTTTAACAAGCTTAGATGTACCCGACCAGTAAAAAGTCTAGGCAACCGTAGTTGATCAAAAACGTTATGCTTAAATTAGTCAAATTAATTTTATAAACAAATATAAAAATGTACCCATATTTGAACTTCATTTTATTCATCTTTTTTTTTTTAGAAACTAAAATAAATATATATATTTTTTAATTGCATACACTACCGTTCAAACGTTTGGGGTAAGATTAAAAATAAATTAATAATTTTATTTAGCAAGGACACATTAAACTGATCAAAAGTGACAGACTAAGACTGTCACGTTGTTACAAAAGATTTCTATTCATCAAAAAATCCTGAAAAAAATGTATCTGTTTCCACAAAAAAATATTAAGCAGCACAACTGTTTCCAACATTGATAATAAGAAATGTTTCTTGAGCATCAAATCATCATATTAGACTGATTTCTGAAGGACCATGTGACACTGAAGACTGGAGTAATGATGCAGGAGTAAAAATGCAGCTTTACCATCACATGAATAAATTGCATTTTAAAATATAAATATTTAACAATATTACTGTTTACACTTTATTTTTGATCAAATAAATGCAGTTAGAGCCGCACAATTCTGGATAAATTGAAAATCGCCATTTTTTTTGTTTTCAAATAGAGATTGAGATTCTATGGAGCCCCTAAAGGGACCTATGCAAAAATAAAAAAATAAAGACTATTGCGTGCGCACGCGAAACCTATCGCGTGCGCACGCGATACTTTCACGTGCGCACGCGATAGTTTCTCGTGCGCAAGCGATACGTTTCTCGTGCGCACGCATAACAATTTCCTCACTGTCATTACTATGAGGAAAACAAGAGCATGGATGTCAAAGTTTTAACTTCTCCACTAGATTAAAAAAGACTAAAGTGTTATTAAACTGTTGGTTACAACATGACCAATAAATCCTTATTTTTTAAGGAATTGGTTTAACAGGGATATTAATCATCTTATGAATAGGTTTAATAATTATGGAAATATTTTAACATACGAACAATGTATGCAAATCCATAGTTTTCCTGTGCATTTTAAACAATTTAATTAAAGCTATTTCCCCTACTCTGATTCATCTTATCAAAAGTCATATTCAATTTAACTCCACATTAATGATAAATCCAAAATAAATGGCATTGAATTGATTGATAAAAAAATGCTATAATAAACATATTTGTACAATATTTCAAATACAAAATAAAATAGCACCTAGAGGAATTATTTTTTTGGAACTCTATTATTGATAATATTAATTGGAAGACTGCTTGGTTAATCCCCTTTAAATATTGCATTAATAATAAAACCAAAGAAATACATTTTAAAATTGTGCATACTATACATGTTAGAATTTTGATGATTATGGCTTGCAGCTATGAAAACCTTTTCACAATATTCTAAATTTGAATTTTGGGGTTTTCATAAACTGTAAGCCATAATCATAAAAATAAAGGCTTGAAATATCTCACTTTGCATGTAATGAGTCTGTTATATATTAGTTTCAACTTTTAAGTTGGGGCCTCACCGTCAACATTTATCAGGTTTTATAACCTACAGGTCCCCTCATTGCACTCCAACATACTGTCGGTCTAACTATGCATAGGCTGGAGTGTGTACATGCTGAGCATTATCTCCTCCCTTATAGGGTCCGTCTCTGACTGACTTAGAGGGTTTGTCATGCATATCAGTACATAAAAATGTTCTTGTGTGTTTTCTCTGGACGCCCATTGGGCCGTTCCACATTGTCCCTTACAAAGCCCGCCTTCGGCCGGCTCGTTGGATAATTACTTTGCTTAAAGTCCCACTCCGATCATATTTTGAGCTATTTTTAAACATTCCCAGTGGTCTTTAAATTATGATTATGCCCTTTTTAGCCAAAATCACAAAACCTGTGCCGTTTTCTGGGACTTCGCTTCAGCAGAGCGGCAGTAGCTCATTAGCAATTCGCCTCTGCGTTGTGGGCGGAGCCGTTGGCACCGAGACGACCCTCCCCCTGCCCGTTGCTGAGAGCTCTGTCTCTCCCGCTAGAGACATTTACACCCCCAATACCGGTGGGGCAACAGTATTATATACACGTTAATTATTATTATCCGAAGTTAATCAAAGTTATCACCGATCACCGATCATTATTTCACTCCAA